ATATAAAATAACATGCAATATTTTTTTTTTTTTTTTTTTTTTTTTTTTAAATAATAGATAGTGACTTGTTCGCTAGGTAGTCTTCAAACCAAAGTAAATTTTTTTTTACTCCAGGCTCCAGGCTTTCGACAGATCATTAAAAACTCCTAGAGTAAAGTAGTCGTTATTGAATGTATCCGATACATGAATAATTAGTTTGATTACAGCATGGTTAGTTGAATTATCTTTTTGAAATCCAAATTGTTTACTATACAGCAAACTGTTTAACATCAAATAATTGTAAAGTCTGTTGTACATAATTTGTTCCAATAATTTTGAGAAGCAGGGTAAAACGGAAGTAGGTCTGTAGTTGTTAATATTAGTTTTGCCACAATATTTAAAAATTGGAGTGATTATGGCAACTTTAAGTTTTTTCGGCACAACACCTAGTTTTAATGAAAGACCAAAGATATGAAATAATGACGGTTCAATCATAGGTTAAGACTGGCTTAACAATATTCATACTAATTTTGTCAATGCCCTCATTTTTAAGACTGTTAAAAGCATTCTTATCTCGCTTAGATTTAAATTAGATTCTTCCATAATAAAATTACATGATTTAATATAAGATTCAAACTTTGTTGTACTTGACGGAATTTTACTCGCTAAGTTCGGCCCTACTTTGAGAAAAAATGAGTTGAGTTTTTCAGCTCTTTTTTTTATCATAAACCATTTCTCCATCAATTAAAAGCTTTTGAGGGAGATTATTTTTTTCACATTTATTTTTATCATAAACCATTTCTCCATCAATTAAAAGCTTTTGTGGGAGATTATTTTTTTCACATTTATTTTTATCATAAACCATTTCTCCATCAATTAAAAGCTTTTGTGGGAGATTATTTTTTTCACATTTATTTTTATCATAAACCATTTCTCCATCAATTAAAAGCTTTTGTGGGAGATTATTTTTTTCACATTTTTTTTTATCATAAACCATTTCTCCATCAATTAAAAGCTTTTGTGGGAGATTATTTTTTTCACATTTATTTTTATCATAAACCATTTCTCCATCAATTAAAAGCTTTTGTGGGAGATTATTTTTTTTCACATTTATTTTTATCATAAACCATTTCTCCATCAATTAAAAGCTTTTGTGGGAGATTATTTTTTTTCACATTTATTTTTACCAATTATTTGTTTAATTATATTCCACGTTTTTTTAGTGTCGTTTTTTCCAACAACTTTGCGTAGTAAGTATTATTTAGAGTGTTTTTTATTTTACTCAAATAAGTTTTTATAGTTTTTGTAGTTTATTTCATTTTTATATGTTTTATGTCTTAAATATTTATCATTAAGTTTTTGTTTTTTCTTTGATGATTTTATTAATCCTTTTGTCATCCAGGGGTTTAAAGGAAACTGGGATTTTATAATTATAATTTTAATGGGAAATTCTGTCATACTGTTTACAGAATTGCGCCAAAAATAGTTCATATGCAGTATTGACTTCATGGGATTGTAAAATAATGTTCAAATTGATATTTTCTGTTAATAGAGTTCGGAAATACAATAAGGAGTTTTATTAACATTGAGCATATGAAGTAGAAAAAAGCTTATTGATTTGTGGAGAAAAAATATCACCACCAGCGTAGATAAAACGTGGTTGTTGAACGGATAAATAATTACTTAACTTAAAGTTTGAATTTTTTTGATGGTTTTAAGCCAAGTTTCTGTGATACAAATTATTTTAAATTCGTGGTTTAGTTGATACAATAAAAGTTTGAAATTTTTGTTAATACTTTGAAAGTTTACATTTAAAATAGAAAATGCATTTTTGTTCTGACAGAGATATTCACTGGTACCCTGAAGGTGACCTAAGACCTTATATCATATCTCATAAAATTTTTCTTTTGATTTTGAAAGTAGTGAAATGTTCAAGAAAAGTAAATGTTCCTCTAAAATTACCCAAAAATCAATAAAACATTTATTAAAAGGAAATCAATCGCTAATTTTCTAGGAATAATAATAGAAGAAACTTTGTCATGGAAATCACATATAAAATATATAGAAAATAAAATATCAAGAAAGTAAATGTGCACATACCGACACTATCAAAACTTAAATCATTTTTTGGTAGCTTTTTGAGAAAACAAATTTATAAGACTTGTTTTAACTAGAGGTTAATGCCCTCTGACTCATTCTAAGACTCCTGCGATTGGATCAAATAGATGTTTGGTTGTTTGACTTATTGAATTTACTCTTTGAGGATCGTGTTTAAAAATAAATTCTCATAAGAATTTGACTAGTTTATCACTTTTTAAAACTTAGCTATCTTTTTTTTCATCAATAAAGGGAAATACTGCAAAAAATAAAGTTTTGTGAGCATTAGTGTATTTGAGATCATTATATTCATACTTATCAGAACATTTCAATCTTGTTTTTCACTTGAATGCGCTTCTACCTCTGGTTTCACTCTTGTTTTTTAAGCGCCGAGAGTCTTTACGCAGCCCAGGATAGCAACCTTAAAAGTAGGGCCTTTTTTTTTTTAAATTTACTTATATTATCAATAAAGGACTTTTTAACTTTATGTTCAAAAATGAAATTTTCAACATCCCAGCCTAATTATTCATAAAATATAAATCTTTCTGAAACTCTGCTTTAAGTTGGAATTCAGAAAAAGTACTCAATCGCTATTCACTATTGACTAGTATAGTAACTTTTTCATTGTTTGACTAGTCGATGCCGAAACATCAATGATTGCATTGCTATTAATTTTTAGAAGAAGTTAATTTTTGCAAAACATCAAAATGAATGATTGTAAAATTGACTGGCTCAAAAAATTTCTTAATTTGTTTAAAATATATTTTAATTTTGAGAATGACCTTTCACAAGCATTTTGTGATGAGATTAATATCAACACAAATTTGTAAGCCATAAACAAATTTGAATACGCTACGCAAGGCTATGCACATTGAACGTCTTACGCTATGCAAGGCTATGCACATTGAACGTCTTGAAAACAAAGTTACAACAAACAATACATTTTTTTGCAATTTGCATTTATTTTTGTCGTCGTCGCTGTTTTCTACTAATGGGATTGTTAAGACAGTTTCTTATGTGGTTGTCTTTAGGCTAAAAGTTAGGATAATTGCCATCCTTATTTGGGTGAATGGAAAGCTAATAAACTTATGAGTAAAAAATAAAATTTGATTTACTGATATTAAAAACTGTTGATGTCTACAGGTGTGATGAGAAGTGCATTAATATGTTCCATTCTGTGGTCTAATATGGTCTCGTTATGTTTTTGTCCATTTTCAAATATGGTGAGTAGAAAGCTAAACACAATAACTTTTTACGCCTATGGGCTAGCAAATCAAAACTAAATGTAAGACCTATATAATAGACTTCTATTGATCAAATGAACACATTAGTCACCGTAGGCCATAAGCCATCACTCTACTCTGATGGGGCGAATTAGTTGTCTCATACCAGACAAGCAAATGTTCCGTTTGTTTGTCTGGTATGAGACAATTACATTCGATTTTAGGGTCGTCTGGTATTAAAGGATCACATTTGTAATCAAATAGTATTTTATTCGATTGCGTCTGCAAATTAAAATTAAACAAAGACTCCAGATCGAACCCATTTAAACTGTTGTTCTTTTTTTTATTTATTTATTTTATGTGCCCCAAGAAGCTCTTAATGTCTTATCACAGAGCACCGCGGAAGAGTATAGGTTCGGTCAGAGATAAAATTTGAAGCACTGATACTTTGTTTTTGAGGTCAGCGCGCTACCACTGCGCTACACGGCTGATTCTGCGTTGTAAGTAATTCTAACTTTGTATTAAAAGTTTCTTAAAATTTTGGGGCTTCTAGTATTAGTTTCTTATAAACTGGTTTCTTATATTAAAAAAAAAAAAGAAAAAAATGCATTTAGACGTCTTATTAAATGAAAACAAAAAATTAAAAGTTAAATTGAGCTAAATAATAATAAGGTTATTTAAACTTAATCATTAAAAATTGTTAAATGTTAATTATTTACCAAATAATGATAAATAGAATTCAAATTTTAAATACTAAACATTTGCGAAACTATTAGACAAATAAGTTCGTGTTAAAACCATAAAGTCTTAAGAAACTAAAGGTTTAAACGACTTTCTACTTTTTTTTTCTTTAACTTTAATTAACTTATTGCCCGGACGTTTAGGGTGGGGGCGGAGGAATGAAATATTACGAATTTTTTTGTTCCTAGCCTCCAATCATTGCAATTTTTTAGCAAAGCATCATTGTTTGGCATAAATATAAACATAAAATTGTCTGGAGTTTGCTCCGTGTCTAAAAGTTAGCTATCTCAAACACCGAAAAATGCTGAACCAGTCACTGGTTGATTCAATGAATGTACCCTATAGCTGGGTACCAGAAAATATTGTACTTTAAAAGTTGATCCTCAATCAGATCTAAAGATATACATCTTTAATAATTTAAAAAATAATTTTTTTCTTGACTTAAAATTTAATGAGTACAAGCATTTGCTGTTAATTAGTTGTATTATACACACTATGATATCGCTTATGATATTGCTTCTCGGTTGTATTATACACACAATGTTGTATTATACACACTATGATATCGCTTCTCGGCCTAACGGCTAAGATCAAGTGTAGTATCTGTTCTTATTTCTGCTCCGAACCATCTCTCAATTGGTTACGAAGTTGTTAGAAAACAGAAACAGCACAAGATCAAAACTGTGACAGTCGAAAGAGGTTCTTGGCGTAGTCACTTTTTCAGTGTCTCCTTCTACGTCTGGAAATCTTAAGACGATCCGTCCACTCAAAACGTTAAATGGAGGTAAACCCTTAAGTGGGCACTGCTCAGTTTCGGCTGAGTGGCAACTAATAAACCCTTAAGTAGGCCTTACGCGGAGTTTCGGCTCCCTAATAACGCCGCCTTCTAGGGCCCTGTGTAAGCCTGGTTTCAGCTTCAGGTGCCTCTAGTTGGTCGGTAAAAAAAAAAAAAAAAAAAAATTATACACACTATCATAATAAGTTATACACACCAACAAAATATGCTCTTCACACCATCATAACTTATTATGCACATCTTAAAGATATATTAGAAACACCATTATAATAAATAATACACACCATCATAATATGTTACACACGCCATCATAATATGCACTACATAATTTTGTAAAGTTATTCTAAAAACTTTTTAAAGTTATACTTTAGCATTTGTTTATATTATTACATTACGATTGTATATGTTTATGTTTTCCATATTTTTGACAACATTATTTATAAAATTTTTACTCTTATTAAAATCTACAACTTTTTATGATTTATTTATCTTGTTTCAAATGTCGCATTTTTTTAAACCACATTGTAAAAGGTATTTCTTCTTTCAAAACGTCTGTACATAAATTAGTTTTAGTTTTGTCGTAGTATTTTCTTGTTAAAGATGACGATACTGCGGTTACTTTAATCCTAAGACAATGGTTAACTAAATCGTAGTTTAATCTCTTTAACTTATCTACTTCTTCATAAAAATTAGAAGTACTGTTATTCACCTTCGCCCAAAATGTTTTGTTAAATTGATTGTAAATAGCCGTGTCTAGTTTGCTCCAGTTTGAAATTTTTTTTCTTAAACTTTTAACGTTAACTGTATTGTTTTCTTTATACGTTCTTGCATTATGAACTTTAAAAACAACATCCTCTAATTTCCAGTTTAGTTCGTTTTTCAAGAGAACTAAAGATTCTTCCATGTATTCCATGATCATAACAAGATCAAAGTCTCTTGTTATTGAAGTTAACACGCTTTTAATATATTCATCTGTTTCGTTCCACACGTCAAAACCAAAATCAAAAGCATTAGGGTTTTTTACTAAAGCAAAAGACCCCTCTCCATCCCGTAAATCTACGGATTGAAGAAGTTTTTTTAAGTATAGCTCTGGTAGCTCAAAAAACTCATCCAAAAGTGGCAGGTTTCCGCTTAAATTATAATGTTTCTTAAAGTTCAAATATTGCGCAATTGAATCAAACTGTGAGTATGGTTCCCTGATAATCGTGATTATTTTGGTACTTTGGGGAGTCATAACCTTTTTCATGTTTTCTTTGTGAAACACAGCATGGTTGAATATTACGTTGTAATTGTCTCCTTTTTTGTGTTCATATAAGTATGCTTCTTTAAATTTATTGGGGTAACAAAACCTGTGATAGCAAAGTGGCAAAGCAGCTTTTAGATGATGTAGCTTCGCATATCTTTGCATTATATTGGTCACTGTTGATGAACCAGTCTTATGGGTCTTCAGAAATATTATATTTTTGTAAAATGACTCTTCAAAGTTCTCTCTATAAATATATATATACATGTATATATATATATATATATATATATATATATATATATATATATATATATATATATATATATATATATATATATATATATATATATATATATATATATATATATATATATATGTATATATATATATATATATATACATGTATATATATATATATACATACATATATATATATATATATATATATATATATATATATATATATATATATATATATATATATATATATATATATATATATATATATATATATATATATATATATTTATATATATATACATACATACATAAATACATAAAAACATAAACACACACACACATAGATACATTCATAACTACATACAAACACACACACCTACATACATACATACATACATACATACATACATACATACATACATACATACATACATACATACATACATACATACAAACATACATACAAACATACATACACGGTTAGCACGGATCCTTATAATGCCTACCTAGCTGTTCCAAGAACGCCACTTATACGGAAATTTAGCGTACACATTAAGGTACCCTGTAATGCAAATTTTAAATCGTTTAATTTTGTCCGCGGAAAATAATTTAATTTGAATGTTCAAAAATTCGTCAAATTTTGATTTCATAGTGCGCCAATAAAAACACTTGTAGAATTGGAACCAATCAATATAATTTGATAAAAATTGGTTAAATGTAGCCAATAGTAACACCAAACTCTGGACAAAATTTGAGCATGATTGGATGACTGGCGTAGGATTTATGGCAGTTTTAGTTAAAGTTTTGTCAGTTTTTCGCTACTAATACCTCAAAGCGTTACCGATTACTTTGAAATTCGGTCACTATTTTTAAAATATCGGTTACATGAGTATTCTACTATGTAATACCAACAATTTTTCTTATAATTATTTTATCGGTACATGTACAGTTTTCATTTTATACACCAAAATAGTGATTTTCTACAAAGAGCATGATTTAAATAATCTTATGCTTATAGTGTCGACACGGCCTTCAAAGTGGAGGGGGTCAACCCTTCAATTTCTAAAATAAAATCCATAATTTCTAAAATAATTGTCTATATTTTTAAAACAAAAGCTCCTGGCAAAAAAAGTAGAGAAGGAAATGACCCTCTAGCCTCCCCGGGGTTGACGGCCATGCATGCTTCGCTTGAATTTTCCAACATTTCCTAAGGTATAAACTGCTGCCAAAAAAAAAGATAAAAAAAAGTGCAAAATCTGGTCAAAGGACTACCAGTTAGTAAAAAAAAAAAAAGTAGATCTCCTAAAATATTTTGCATTGACCTCCTTAAATACATTTACTTTTAAAATGAAGTGAAAACTATTTAAACTCTATTTTTTATATTGTATTACCATCAAATATCTTATTACATTTTAAGAAATGTTTTTTTAATTTTCTCCACCAAAAGGTTATTAATATATAGCTCAATATACTGTTATAATACAATTACTCGTTAATACTACTTTTAAAGATGGTGAAGATATTCATTATACGCCTAATTTCTAATAATTCAAATGATGTTCTTTAAAGATACTTCCTGTTTAGATCAACTATGCAGCGCAACAATCTTTCTTTGTACTCTGGATGATTAGTATTTCGCTTATACCTCGACCTGATAAAAATGCTGATAAAAATCTTGATGAGAAGTTTCGACAGCTTGTTCACTATAGGGCCCCAAGGGGGATCTTTTGTGAGTGATAAAATCCTTGATGTGGTAGAAGACGGCGTGAATTTTAGGTGTTACACCTGCACCAGTTATCATTAGGTAACACTTTTTGTGTTTTTTCAGCAAAATCCGGCTGAAAGATGTATCCAAAGCAAGCCATGGCTACTAAATTAAAGCTTTTGAATGCTTCAATTATGCACACAATATTGAGAACCATGTTTGTCTATGCAAGTTGCTAAAGCAGATTTTTAAGAAACTTCCTACATTCATTTCCCTCAAACTGGTCCCTGTGATACGGGCTCAGTTGAATGTGGAGGGCGGCTGGTCACTTAACAACTTCTATCCAAGCAGTTTTAAGGACCTTGAAATGATGGTTGACAACTCCTAAGAGGAGATGCAATTCCATCGGTGGAATGATTTCCAAAATCAGAACATTGACAGGCCCGCAGATAATTGGCTTTCAAATGACATTGTCAAACAGCTTTGCATTAACAACAACCCCGCTAGATTGCTGGAAAGACTCAAGACTTGAACTAATTGAGCCAGTGTTCGCATGTTTCCAGATTTAGCAAAAAAATTGGATTTGACGTCACATCAGGTGCAAGGGTGCGTACTTGAATGAGCTTGAAGACCACAAATTATATTTGCAACTTCGATATCACAAGCCAAAATTAGTTTAACTCTATTTGCATTAATGAGTGACCAGGTTCGTTCAATATTGGAATGTGTTTCTGGCAAATCTTCTGGCAAACCCCAACAATAATTTGTCTCTTGTTACCAGTCCTTTGAGTGAGAGGTTGTTGTTGGTGTGGTGGGCTGGTTTCATCCTTTAACGCAGTATCAATAATGCTTAGGCAAAGCTTGAGAAAACCTTTGCCACCATCAATTCCGAACTTAAAAAAATAGCGACCAGAAATTTTGCGGAACTGAATAACATAATTCACAAGACTTGATAAATCATTGCAGTGAGCAACAACATGAACTGTACAAGAATTTGTTTTTTCGTCTCTAATTTTTAAGTCACTGCAGCTGAAGAAACTACTTATTTGTTGACCTAGTCTTATAAAATTCATATAGAAATTTTTCTCTACCATCTTGCTGCTTGATGTTTTGTTTATAGTTCTAACAAGTTTATTTAATCCGTTGTTTGAAAGGCCCGTATTTAATTGCACATTTACAAGGGCTACAGTGGTCAATTTCGGAGCACTTGATGGTGTCTGCGCACTACTTTGACTTAAAACCAAAACATACATATTTTATAGTTACAATAAACTTTGTTTAGTAAGTACTGTAAAACTTTTAAATTATTCGTTTTTAAAGAAATTAGAAACTTGTCAAAAATATACTTCTTTAATTCTATCTAGTATTATTTCTTAATATTCAAGACTTTATTTCAATATATATGTTAAAATTATTTAAGTATAAATATTTACCAGAGGTAACTGTAAGTGGAGGCCCACCGGATGCTTTAGCCAGTATAATAGTTCTTCCGGAGATAATTCTTTATTAGAAAAAACTTGAGATTGTTTGAACGATTTGGCATCTTTTGCTGCTAAAGATTGAATGTTTTCCCTGAACATAATTTGAGAGCATTCGGGTGGCAAACCTTTTTTTAAAGGGCTGGGGCATTTGCTGCAACGCACCTTTGGTTTTTTTCTTAATTGTGGTTTGCTCTATAAAAGGATGTTTTTCTTGCAGCTTTGATCAATCAATTCGATAATTAAGCAGTAACACATCGTGCCTTTTGTTTCAGGTCTCACTTGTATTGACTTAAAATCAAACAAAGGAGGGAGTACAACTTCTTTCCCCTCTTGTTTCCTGCGCAAAGTAATTCTACACGATTCGCAGAATCTTTTTGGTACCCGAGTGTCACTGATATTGATCTTGGTCTTGTACAGTTGGCATATTCGATCTGCTTGAAAAGTGGTAAGCTGTCATAAAGATTTTTTCAAACAAAGCAAGCACACAAACTT